CCCACCAAAGGCAGGCCAGGGGGTGGGGCGTGCACGGCAGGGGGACACGCCCACCGCACCGGGAGCACCGAAACACGGGAGGGGCATGGCTCATGGCTGCAGGCAGTGGGGCGCACGGGTGGGTTGGTGGTTTGTGTGTGTGTGGTGTGTGGTTGGGTGGGTGGGTGGGTGGCATGTGGGTGTGTGTAGCTGGGTGTGTGTCTGAGGTGGGGGGGGTGCATGGGGCCAGACACAAAGTGGGGTGGTGGGGGGTTGCGTGCAGCTGGATGCAGGGTGGCGGCAGCGCGGGGCAGTGGGTGGTGGCGCTCTGTTCGTGCTGCCCGCCTGTCATTCTTGATGGGCACTTTGCTAGTTTATTATAATTTTCTAGGTATAGAATCTAATTATTGGAGGCCTGCCTTGAATTTGCCCCCTTCCACAGCTGCAGCAGGGAAAATAAATCTGGGGTGCCAGGTAGCTTCCATGCCCTCCACCATACCGCTTCATAGAACCCTAGAAAATTAGGGTTGGAAGGGATTTCAGGAGGTCATCTACTCCCAACCCCCTGCTCAAAGCAGGACCAGCCCCAACTAGGTCATCCCAGCCAAGACTTTGTCTAACTGTGTCTTAAAAACCTCCAAAGATGGAGATTCCACAACTTCTCTAGTAACCTGTTCCAGTGCTTTACTAACCTCCTTGTGAGAAAGTTTTTCCTAATATCTAACCTAAACTTCCCTTGCTTCAACTTGAGACCTTTGCTCCCTATTCTGTCATCTGCCACCACTGAGAAAAGTCCAGCTCCATCCTCTTTAAAACCACGTTTCAGGTAGTTGAAGGCTGCTATTAAATCCCCTCAGTCTTTTCTTCTCCAGACTAAATAAGTCCAGTTCCCTCAGCCTCTCCTCAGAAGTCATATACCCCAGATTGCCCACATCCTTTCTGGGGGTGCAAAACTAGCCACAGTACTCTAGATGTGGCCTCACCAGTACTGAATAGAGGGAGAAAATCACTTCCCTTGATCTGCTGGCAACACATCTAGTAATGCACCCAGCAGGCTGTTAGCCTTCTTTGCTACAAGAGCACATTGTTTGCTCACATTCAGCTTATTATCTACTGTAACTCACAGGTCCTTTTCTGCAGAGCTACTGCTTAGCCACTCAGCCCCCAGCCTGAACAAGTGCATGGGATTGTACTGTTTTAGGTGCAGGATTTTGTACTTGTCCTTATTGAACCTTGTGAGATTTCTTTTGGTTCAAATCTCCAGTTTGTCAAGGTTTCTCTGAATCCTAGCCCAATCCTCCAGTGTATCTACTGCTCCCCCTAGCTTGGTGTCATCTGTAAACTTGCTGAGGGTGTACTTCATTAAACTTGCTGAGGGTGTACTTCATCCCATCTTCCAGGTTGTTGATGAAGATATTGATCAAACCCAGCTCCAGGACCGACCCCTAGGGCACTCCACTTGATACTGGCTGCCAACTAGACATTGAGCCAGATTACTTTCCCCTGCAGCTCCTTCGCCACTCCTTATTGCCAGATCCTACTTTCACTGAGCACATGGAAGTGAGGGGCAAATTTGAAAACACTGACCTTGAAATACACCTTGAAACAATTTGCATATTGGCAAATTTTTACAGGTACCCATAGATTTAGTTCATTCAGAATTGATGCAATTTACCTTTTTTTGAAACTCTTGCAAGTTTTAGCCCAGGTACTCCATAAACACACTTTTAAATAGCACTTGCATGCTTGCTTATATATAGTACTAACTGCATGTTATTAGTCCAAAATGGGGCCTCATCAGAGTCAACAGTGTTTCAAGCTGTAGAGACCCCATAGCTCAGTATGTGTGTGTACTTTAGAAACCCCCACAAAGGATCCTTGTGCTCCCACTCATGACTGGAACTGGGTGTTCTTGTCACGAATCTTGGAATCCTCCAGAAATTTATATGCAAATGAGGCACAGTGCAACCTTGTCCGG